AGTGTGTGCCAGTCATAAAGCCATTCTTAGCACCTCAAATTAATCTCTAGAAAAATTTCTAACTTGGTAGGCAACTACAAGTTACAGTAAGCACCTTGCCCAGGCCTATTTCAACATGGGACAGGAGGAAGATTGATCCAATAACTACTACTCACAGATCCATGGTTTTCTGAAAACTTCTTTCTGCTGGAAGGCCAAGATTTAATTTGTTGTGTAAAATTATCTTGGGATCTTCAGTAACAATCAACAATTCTATGTGTGTGTGTGTGTGTGGGGGGGGGGGGGGGGGGTGCACAAGTATTTTTTTATTTTTTAACATAACTAATTAACTCACTAACTGACTGACTGACTGACTAACTAAACTAAGCTAAGCGTGTTTTCTCGAAGATCTGTGTTTGTTTCCTCCCCTTTCTCTTGCACAATATAGATACATGAACAATTTGGGGTGCAAAACGTAGATTCAAATTATTATGAGCTAGGATATATAAAATCACATTCATAGATTACATGTTCCTTTTTTGATGATAATAATGATAATAACATAAATATACTTTACAAGCTTATGAAAAGTTTTAAAATGCGGTGGAGGATCTTGAATGGGATCTGCTGCTTTATGGAGCCAGTGAAGTTGTTTTAGGAGGTATGTAACTTACACTTTGACTTTTAAAGAAGTCTCTTATGTCTCTCTTACTCTTTTCAGACACCCTCGCTGCCAGTCTAATAACCAAACACACAAACACTCACACATGAGACCAATGCAAGTGTGTGTATGGAGTGTGTATGACGTCTTCCGTGTGCCGGACTGGAGTTGTGACAGGCAGCCCGGGCAAAGGCTGCTATGCTCTACCCCTTCTATTAATTCGGCTAACTAATATGAATCGTTCAATTCCATTTAAAGAGCGAGATCATCTGTGGTAGTAGCACTAGACATCTTCCAGGCATGTGAGTAAAACTAACAACAGTTCAGCGAACAGGATGAATGAATGGTAGCTGGCACGCTGGCACGCAGATGACGTCATACACACTCTGCTTTGGTTAAAAAAAATATAAAAAATATAACCGCGGATGTCTGGGGGACAGTGATTCGCCTACATGTTATGAATGCTGCCGTACCATAAATAATAAATTGTGAACAGTTTAGTTTGTGCCTTCAACTCGTTGCCCATAGGAAGACGTTAATTAGATTACAAAACCAAATATCATCGGAACAGCTCAAAATGACACGAAACTCATATGGGTGAGTAGAACATAATGTAATAACGTAAAATCAAGGGGTCAATGTAAAAAAAACAAAAAACGGTGTTACCCTTTAAGTATACTTTTAAGGTATCTATACTTTACTCCATTACTTATTTTTCTTCCTACTTCTGACTCATTACATTTTCACACAAGTATCTGTACTTTCTATTCCATTTTTAAAACAAAGGTTTCTCGTTACTCATGTGCGCCATCCAATGCAGATCATTGGCACCATTCACATCTAGTGAAAACTAGTGTCATTGGATGAGTCATATAATGTAAACACTCATTGGTCAACTATTCGTCAAATTTGTGCTGACGCCAAAGGAAATCATCAGAAGCAAGCAGGTGTTCGTCAAACTGTAAACACGAATTGTCATGCCATGCTACAGTTTTGGATTCAGAAAAAGATGTTGCTCCCATTCTCCCAGAGTCCATACTTTCCTGTGTTTTTCTAAAAAACATACTTGGCGAGGACCCGAATCCATATTCGTGTTCTTGTGAATTGAGTATCTGAATCTTCAGCTGTAGTTTTTGAATAGGTCCTAGTGCTAGGCGATTGTTTGTGTACTGTAGCATAACATCGTTTCTTTGGACAGTAAAAAGTGCAGGGAACCAAAACTGACTTTTGAAAAAGTGCAAGGGACTTGTCCCCTGTGAACCCACACCTTGATGTGGTAATGACACATGAGATAGTTTCCCAGTAATTGGATTTGAAGTTTAAGTCATAAAGATCTTGGAGTAGTTTTTATTTAATGAGTTTATATATTCTTTTATTATTATTTTTTAAATGTGGTCTCAATCTGGCTTGTTTATGAACAGTTCAAACCGTTCAGTGGTGGATGAATTAAGTACGGACTAAATAACTGCATCTATGGAAAGCTGTATGTGACAAGTACAAGCCTTTAACAATTCTCTGCATACATTATATTTTATTTAGGATTTTATCATATAAGCCTTTGCCATTAAATATCCCAGAGTCAGCCTAAAAATTGATTATTGCAGTTCAAAAGTAGAGTGGATATATTTTTAGAATACATCTAAAAATCAACATTCCTGTGAGATGAATGTTGATTCCAGTGCTGCCTTTCATTTCTCTAAAAAACAAAAGTCACGTTTTCAAGATAAAATCTAAGAACTGTACACCTTGAGTTCATCAAGATTTGTTTATTGTAAGAACAATGTTTGCACGTCATTCTTGTGCAGTTTTGCTGCATAACTAGTACATTGTGTTCTCTGACAAATGCTCAGACCATGAGAGATGTCTTCCTTTCTATAAATGACATCGTGCATAAAACTTCAATGGTTTTGGCTTTCTTTCACATAAAGATAGAGTGTGATTTTTTTTTATTTGGGTACCATACCTCATTATATTGATATTCTTTTGCAACTTAGCTAATGTGACAAGGTACACAACAGAAGGTCTGGGTTGGATGCAATCATCTGGTTTTCACAATCTGACAGTATTCTCTCTAGTCTCTCTAAAGTTCCTTGGGATTATATGTGTTGTGAATTGGCGCAGCATTATGTTGTAATTTCACATGGAATTTTTCCTGGAAGCTAGCTGAAATAGCTTTCCCCTTGTCCTGCCGTCAAAAGCCACTGACTGCAGTGTATCGTTGTACCAACCTGCTGAGGTTAGATGAGAAGACGGAGTATCCTGCTTGAAAACAGAATTCCCCTTCGAGGATCCAGCGTTACAATGCCTTTACGGTCCAATCACGGGGGGATGCCCTCTGTCGATAACCATAAGTTAACTACCTTGATTAAAGCCCATCAGATTCCGTTGCTGTTTGCATCAGACATATCTGAGACTTTCCCAGAGAACCGACCCGGTTTGGGAGATGGATTTGTGTGGAGCTGACATCCGAAGCTGCCTTCCCTGCTCCTTTCTTCCCCCTCATCTGGACTGCAAGTCGTCTCTCAGTTAAACCTTTCAGTATTCCATCTGATGCCTTAAATGAGGTGCTGAGCTTTGGCGAGCTAATTAAGTCAGGTTTCGCAAAGAATTTATTTGAAATTTGGACACTTTACGTAGATGTTTAAACTGAAAGTGTTTATAAAGACCTCTGATTTCATGGTGTGAATGAATGTGGTGTGATTGGTGGGAATGAGTTTATGTGTTCTTTTTCATCTTGTTTTTCTTGTTTCCACTTTTGTCCTGATGTTATTGTAGTAGAGTTGTTGAGGGTCCTTATACCTTTTGAACCGTATGCAACCGCATGTTAGGGGCGGCCATTTTCTAAGTTCTTGAAACCAATTGTTTGGAGTTTTGTAGTCTAACATTTGCCTTCGGGATAGGGCTGGCCATTTTATGAGTTTGTAGTCCAACCCTCCCTTCCAAGATGGAAACAATAACTACTACTTACGTCTCCACAGTTTCTGACAACTTCTTTCTGTTGAAATGCCAACATCTAATCATTTGTGTAAAATTATTTTGGGATCTTCAGCAATTCCCTCAGATAGCTAACACTATTAGCTTGTCATAGAACTACTGTCATTTTCTGACTATAGGCCATTACTTTTTGGGGTTGATAGTACGGTGCGGCTTTTCTACAGACTTTTCATGATTTTTGTGACAACGTAAGAGGATTTGTTTTGGTTTGTCCGCTGTTGTACGGCACTACTTTGCCTGGCGGAAGGGCATGTGATCAGACAGACAGTATCGATGGAAAAGAGTGGTATGTTGGTCATATATCCATCCGCCAGGCAAAGTAGTGCAGTACGTTTTAGCGCAAAAAGGAAACTAGATTAGCAAGAGCAAGGCGATTATACAGGAGACGTAACGTCCATCAGGGTGCGGAAGACTTTGTGTCAGCAACTCCCTCCCTCCCATACAGAAAAAAATAACAAACTTCCACAAACTCACATTTAGAAAAATAAAAGAATACTCCATTGGAGCAGATGAGATCATTAATAATGATGAAGTGCCTTTGACGTTTGACTTGCCTCTCACTAGGACTGGTAATAGGCAAAGTTAATCATTCATCACAGTGAAAACGATGAGAACCATGAGAGAACGAATTTTACTTGGGTTCTGGGTTTCACACCATCCGGGTTAAACTACCAAGAATGATGAGATCTCGCGTGGCATCCCAGTTGAAGTCAACAAGAAAGGGTGGATGCATGATCCGTACCATCAGCTCATTTGCGCATGCGCAACCAGATATGCATCCGGGTGTCCATAAATATTGTAATTATAATACAAAAATTATATATTTCTATCCTTAACTCATTAAAGAACGCTAGTACATATCTTTTCTTGCAAACATTCTCTGCATACATTATATTTTATTCAGGAGATTATCATATAAACCTTTGCCTTTAAATATCCCAGAGTCTTTGTTTACTTATGGTATAAAAGTAGAGTAGATATATTTTTAGGACACATCTAAAACTCAATGCACAAACATTCCTTTGAGATGATAGACAAGGTGGCGTTTAATATTGCTAAAAAAGAGTAGTCTTAACAGAACTGTACTTTTAACTTCATCAAGAATTTATTTTGTGAAAGAACAATGTTTGCACGTCGTGCATGTGCAGTCATGTTGCACAACCAGTACATGGTTTTCTCTTCCTTTATAAAAAACACTTTATTAACTTGGGTATCATACCTCATTATTTCAATACTCTTACAACTTAGCTACTGTGGCACACTAACCAAGGTGCATCATTGGGTGGATCCATAGTGACATGACCCCACAATGTCACACTAATTAATTCATTAATTAACAACAAACATCACAAAAGCTGTGTGAACATTTAAATACGTGAAGCTATGCTTCTAATGCAGGAAAAACAAAAACATGATGGAAAGACAGAGAACGAGGATTAATAAGCTGTAAAACCAGATTATCCACTGTTACTGGCTTTGCTGCCAACAATGTTTGGTAACCAAGCATAAAAACTGGAGCACGAAGCTGCTGGTTCCAGGAAGATAAAGATGCAATAAACTCTCAAAGATTTACATAGACATTTAAAACAAAAGGCATCGCAGTGACAGAATACATACTGACAAATGCAGGTATGCAAGGTATTTGATGTACACTTGCTTTGCTTCATTTGAAAAAGCTACAAGAAGCATGCCAGCAGTCTTTAAAATAAGGTCATGAAAATGCAAACTGTCAGTTGGTTCTTAAAGGAAAAGTCCGGTCACCAAGGAATAACCAATGGGTCATTATTTACACCTAAAACTAATCAGTTTGCATTGATTTAATGAATTAAGAGTTAATCAGTAAAAAAATAAAAATAGTATTTTTTCACTGAGTCCGCGACTGGCCATTTTAGCCCAAATATAGTAACACCTTACTACTTACATCTTCAAGCAGTGATGTAACGGCGCGATAAGCCGAGCGCGAATTACTCTTAATTAAAATCACTTATCATTTATTGAAAACTATGTAATCATTTCATACCTAAAGTCCTTCCAAAAGTTTGTATTCTGAATATGACCGACTTTTCTTTTAAGTTTTTCCAACATACTCAATGGGTTACTGATAATAAACATAAAAAAACTAAAAACAGGTAAACCAAGTGTCTTGTAAAATTCTTTAAAGTGCTGTAAACTTCATTATATCTCATTCATTATATTAACCTTAGTGCACTGCAGTCTCTAGAGTGAGCCCAGTTTCCACCGGACAGATAATCAGTGGCGCTGTGTTCCTCCCATTGTCATGAAGGCAGGGATTAAAGTACGGGTAGACAGGCTCTGTAAAACAACACCCTTTGTAGGTGTAGATATGACTCTTTGTATCGGCATTGTAGAATGACACCGATCCATCTTCATAGTCCAAGTAAACGCCCACTTTCGATGGGATTTCCTGAAGCTTTAGGATAACGGATGGTCCAGCACAGGCCCGAAGACTCTCACCCTTCCTCCTGCAGATCGCCCAGTAACCGTTGTCTGGACGGACAGTAATGGAGCCCTTCCTGTTAATGGACTCCTTGGCTACACCAAGATCCCAGTCGGTTTTATCTCCTACCTGTAAAACAAATGCAGAGCACAGACCTAAAGCACGGATGTAACTCCATAAGGAAATTGCTAAATTATTACACAGATCTTTCAAATGAATCATTTCTTAAAACACACTTTAGGAAAAGTATTTCTGATAATTGCTACAGCGGTCTGTCCAGAGCATACACTACATCCCAACCATGGACCTAGAGACCCGGGGAGCCCATAGTAGCATTTAGAGAGTACAGAAAATGGAGGGCCAGGTGGATTGTATGGATACATCCTGGATATAAAATAACTTCCTTGTTGAAATATGCTGTTTTGCCATAATATATGTCTTTGAATAACATACAGTACTATTTGTCACGGGGCAGATCCTTTTGACAAACAGGCGGATGAGGATATGACGAAAACTTTTCTATCTTTGTAGATGAAGCAGCAAAAGTCAGTCACAGAAATCATGAGTGGGATATGTCATTCTATTTAAAGACAAAATAAAAACTACTGTGAAAAATAAGGCTTATAAAGAATGCTTGTTAAAGAGGCATTACAGCATTTCCTAATATTACTGCCACCTGTGGCCAAAAGACCGAACTGCAGCTCTCTTCTGCTCGTTCTCATAGCTCGTACTTTACAAGGTTCTTTCTTTTATACTTTTTTCACCTTACGGAGTGGAGTTGCCACTGGTGTCTGAGCATCCATAAAATCCACCTTGATTAAAACACTTTGATTGCTAGGTCGGACAGATATAACATGAACACGCTTGAGGTCAAATCCACAAAACAGCTCCAGAACTTCTGACCCACAATAAAATCAGGAAAATAGGCTACAGGCTTATAGATGCATCGGCACTGATCTACTGAGGAGCCAGTCTGCTCATCAAACGATGTTTTAGTCGTAAAGGGTTCAATAAAGTCTATTTTAAAGATATTGTTCAATAAAAGCTTTATTTCTCTGTAAACTTTTGAGCTTTCTAAGCCTGAGTTTACTTTCTTTTCTGAATAAAATTAACTTGACCAGCAGCTCAATGTCTGATCCTCTGAGTCTCTGCCAGACTACTTACGGATAAGTGTGATACTTACCCAAATAAAAAATAAACTAAATACTCTATAGATACAAAATCCCAAGCCTTTTGATGCAGATGGTTATTTAGTTATAATCAATGTTAATAAATTTAAAAACATGGATAATAAACATTTACATTTTAACTTTTTTGTTGTATTTTCCATCAATATTCAAGCTCTAAATTATCTCCACATCTGACTTGTTTTTACCACAGTATTTGACTTTGTAGTGTTTACAGTTCAGCAATGGGTCTAACTCTACCAACCTACCTTAACCACCCAATATCTCCTCCCAAAGGTGTAGCTTTGCTGCCCCAGGACGGCAACACAGGAATCGAACCTGCGGGGGTCCTTAGGGAGCGACTGTATTCCTTGCTGGCCGCTCAGGCTCACCTATGGATCACCAGGAGATTATTACATATTAGCAACAAAAACACTGACATCCAAAAGTCTGAGAAGGGTTTATAGTGACAGACGAAGGCGTCTCACTGTGAAACACACCTTTTTACCATCGGGGGACAGAAGCAACCAGTTAGCAGCAGTTCTAGGATCCAGAGTCACATCCACTAAAAACAAATGGATATAAAGAATGGAAACGTCGCTCAGTATCAATAAAGTTTAAATCACTAAAAACAAAATTGTTCAGATGCAGAAGTTTGAGACAATTTATAAACTATAGTAAAGGAACCCTCTTAAAGATTCACATGCATACCTGCATAATTGCCAATCTTGTTGATTTCTGAAAAGAAAGAGGGAAAAAAAAGGTTTTAAAATTATTCAGTGAATTATCTTGGGTGCAACATGGTCAAATCCTTATAAAAGACTAAATGGAGATTTTTCTGTTATGACAATTATATAAGTACTGACCTTCTGCACAAAGGTTCTTTTCCAATTCCCGGCAGAGGTCCACCAGCTTGGAGAAACTTGCCCTGACACTTCTAATGTAAATATCAGGCTCAACACTGACCTCAGACCAGTTTGTGGATGATGGAGGAGAAGTCAGGCATGGGAAGCTCTGGAATAGTAAATTCCGAATGCAAAATTTTTTTACGTTTATTAGGCAGAAAAATGCTGCTGTTATATATTTCTAACAGGACAAGCAGAGTGAATTAATATCTCATGTGTCTAATTTGCTGCTAAATTTAACCTGGAATCACATTAAAACAAGTAGTGCTTTATGAAAGATTAGTTTACATTATGGTTAAAATGTCTGACCTGCAGGAGATGTAGCTGGTCCTTGGTGTCCTTCAGATATTGCAGCTCACTCCATCTCCTCTGCAGTTCATCGATCTCCTGGTTGAGCTCTTCTATTAGGTCTTCTCCTCTCCTCTTTGCTGCTTCATGCTTCTCTTCGATCTCCTCTATGAGCAGAGCTTGGTTTCTCTCAATGGCCTTTATTGCCATGCTGGCAATATGAGCACTAGTTTGTATCTCTTTGTCTTTATCAATCTGCAAATATAAAAAAAGAAAGGAAACAGGATTAGATCTTTTTCATTTTCATAAAACGACCCTCCTAAAAATCATGTAACTCAGCTACAAAGTTTTTTGACATTGAACACAATTTGTTGCCAGAATATATTTGAAAACTTCACTTTATTAATTGTAATTGAACATAACCCTGATTGGTTAATCCCCAAACAAAGCAGTTGGGACCTCTTAAAGCACCGTGTAAGTACAGGTCAGTCCAATCAAAGGTACAGGTTCAGATCTAGAGTCCCTTTTTTTCTAAATTATCTGTTTTTTATCGAGACCAAACTTTGCTTCTCACATATTTGGCTAATCTACAGTCTATTGTTTTTGTTTTCTGCTTCTCTGCAGAGACCTGTTCTCAGGCATCTGAAACGTCCAGTGGAATCTGTTCGGAAAGCAGCTCAATCAAATGTTCAATATGGATGGAAACTTTTTCTTTCAGTAACTTTGTTCTCGGGTGACTTATTGAACTATGGCAAAGATTTTAGAAGGTGAGTCATAAACAAGTCTGATCATAAACAAAGTGAAGATGCTGATGTTTGTTGACTAGCTGAATTAATTGCTACATAGTAGGAAGGTGTGAAAGCGCATGACAAACATTTTTCCAAAATATAGCTCTAGGGTTGAACCCAATGACATTTATTGGCCTTACAGAAAGTTATGATAAATAAAACACTTAGATAACAAAAACTAAAGGTAGGAAAAGCAGCCTAATATCAGACATAAACCAGATAAGATTAAACAGACAGAACTCACTACAAATAGCTAGTCACTCTAAATAGATATCCAACTATGTCTAAACCAAACTAACTAGCTCTCCTGATCATGCACTAGTATCGTACTGACATTGTAATTAATGTATACATTGTAATACATTCGTTGAATACTTTTATTTGGCAAAAGTTTTAGCTGAAATAAAAGCCTTACCCTGCTCAGCTCTATAGAGTTCTTCAGCTCTTCACATTTTTTTAGCCTGTTCTGAATCATTTGTTGAATCTCAGATTGAGCCACCTTCAAATGTGCCTGGAAAAGAGTTAAAATTAGAGCATTGATTAATACAGTTTGATTCATTAGGATAGTAGTAGATTGTTTGGAATTATGACGGGTATTTATTATGGGTTACCTTGATCCTCCTGCTCTCTTTCTCCATAGGAACGATTTCATGTTGCTTATGGTCTCTCTCAGTGCAGCTCCGACAAACAGGAGTCTGGTCCTTTTTGCAGAACATCTCCAGCGGCCTGTTGTGTTTTCTGCAGAGGTGTCTAGTGCTAAAGGTGGCCGGATCTGTCAGACTATGCTTCATCATCACCGGATCCCTCAGATGAGGGCCCAGGTGCATTTCACAATAAGACGCTTGGCAGACCAGGCATGACTTCACTGCTGTCTGCTTGTTTTCGCTGCAGATGTCGCAAGGTATTGTGTCAGATTTCAAGGACCGTCGGGAGGTATTTTTCCTTGGTGCTGGCTCTGGTTTGCAATCTTGTTTTGTTTTTATAGATCTTTGTGTTAAAAAAAAGAACATATGTTTAATAAAATGGAAAACAGACATATTTAATGTGTTTAAAATATTGTACTAGCTCCATACCTTTTGAATTGTTCCGTAATGTCTTTTAAGCTTACATTCACCCTGAGGGTTGGTCGGGTTTGGAATGCCTCTTTGCAAAGTGGACATTCACACTTGCGGCTCGCATCCCAGAAACCCTGAATACAATCCATGCAGAAGTTGTGGCCACATGGGATAGACACAGGATCGGTGAAACTATCCATGCAAATGACGCACAGAACTTGGTCCTGAGTCAGAATAAATGCCATGTTTCTGGGTAAGAAAACAAGAGATTCAAGGTTACATTTTCATGGAAGTAAATCTATAGTTGTGGTTATGTTAATCATGGGACTGCATAAAAGATTTCATCAAATGAATATCTACATTTCCTGACCAATATATCCACCATGTAGAGTGGTTAAAGGTTTAAAGTCCAGCACATGCTGTAATCCCCTTTTTAATGTTTCATAAACCTCTGCATTCAGTTCTGTTTTCATTTTTTAATTTTAACACACCCAGGAGATTAATATAAAAAAAAACCTAATAAACAAAAAATGTATATCCTGCAGATTTCTCAGTCAAGTAGGAAACAGTTCTGCTCATATTCACACCTGGAAGGTTTTGAAACATGCACAGGACGGCAGTAGGAGAAGGTCAATGTAAATTTATAAATAAAATGAGCTTCCATTTTCCTTTAAAGCACTTAAATCTACCTTATGTTTGAATGATGATATACTCAAAAAATACTTTTATATAAATTAGGTAATTTTTACATTGTTTTTAGGTTTCACAATTTTGGTGACCTTTTTTAAACATGCAATTATCTGTTTTATTAAATATCCAAAATAAAGCATGGCCATTATGCAAGGTAGAAAAACTGAGAATGTCTTACCTGTAGCAGTCTTCACCAGGTGTGTGACTGTTGCAGCACCAACTGACTGTTATGACATTAAGACATGTGGACTAAGCTACTCCCACAACGACAATAAGACCAACTTGTTAGTCCAGTTTTCCTGTCCGTCATTACTGACAAATTCCTGTACAGACTTGCCCTTTTTTCTATGTTTGCTCCCATAACAGCACACAATGAAAGCAAACATTAAGAAAAAATAGCCCATCCGTATGGATGGGCTATTTTGAAGAGATGCGCTTTCTGACTAGTTTTGAACAGTGAGAAAAAAGGGATGCGCCGCAGGTCAGCATGTAATAGAGGGACTAAAGACCCTGCACCCCATGGTGATGACTGGTGGAGCAGAAAGGAGGCTGAATGCATGGCAATGAGGACCAGTAGGTGAAATAAATATGGATGGATGAGATTGTGAATATCTTCGAAAGTGAGTAAAAGAATTTTGCAGAGGATGCAGGATTTAAACAAGAGCCATGAAAGCTTTTGCTGGACAGGAGTGATCTGATTATAAGAAAGGTTTTTGATGACAACACAGACGTTTAATCTCTGAACCATCCGTAGGTTGAGAGGAAGAAAACAAACTAATCAGATTTGGTTAAAGGCTTTTTTTGTTTGTGTCTTTTTCCGCTGTTTAAATTCAGAAAATATTAAAAACTAGTGATTGAGCTCACCAATATGATAAATGGTAAGGTAGAGTGTTAGAGGAAGAGGGAGGGATGGTGGTGCTTTGTTTGGAGTACAGCTGGGTTTCATAGGCCTAGAAATAAAAACGGATCCCAAATTTGCAGAAGATGTGGCCCAGAGAAAGAAGATAAATAATTGGAGGGGCCCAAGGACGGAACCTTGGGGCACACCAGTACACCCTGGTTAGGACTGAGAACGAAACCATTGACTTTAAATGAACTGTGCGCAGCCAGAGATGTATGACATGAACCAGTCTAAAGGGGTATCAGAAATGCAACTGATGTTAGTCTGTAGGATGGAAAGATCAGGGATTTCAAAAGCTGCACTCTGGTTGAGAAAAACAAGGAAAAATTGCCTTTATTCTTTATTCTACGGCAGGACGGTATGACCAGACATCTATGTCTGTTGATTCTGTGGTTGATAAATTAAAATTTTTAGGGGTTAGCAATTCTTCCTTCTCTTACTCAAATAATTAATGAAAATTATAATAAAGTATTAAATGATACCGATGGAGACCTGAGAGGGTGAAGCTTGATTTTTACTTCCTTTCAAGGGTGACTGTTAGTGATCAAGATGAATATCTTGCCGTTGTTAACTTTGTTATTTCAATGATACCTCTAGTTCTCCCAGGGGGTTATTGGAAAAACTGCATTTGGTCATAAAAACATTTTTATGGAATAAAGACACCAAGGATTAAAGTCTCCACTCTACAAAGATCTAAACTGTCAGGGGCGTCAGTCTGCCTAACTTTGAATGGTACTCGTGGTGCTTTGTTCAGCGCCAAGATATCCACATAGTTTGTCTTGTTTGATAAACTCCATTATACCCAATAAAATAGTTAATGAAATTATGGGCCTATTATTTCACATCCTTTTACTATACGATGGCAATTCAATCCTTTTGCAAAAAAACAAAGAAAAAATTCTTTACTCAGTCCCTCGTTTTCCACAACTATTCTTTTCTAATTGAGAAGATGCTTATTGCTTTCATACTTATACAGGAAAGACCAACCCTGATTCTCAGTCTTTGTTATTACTTAATGGCACCTAATCATTAAAAGTACTGTTGGCTGGCCTAACAGCCACTCAAATAATGCTAATTGGTCGTAGGATACCTCCATGTCTACTATAAATGAGGGAATGGCTTCTTGCTTACCCAGGCGCTGCACAATTAGAGATCTCTACAGCTCGCCTGCATCATGCCAGAATCTCTTATCCAAATTATTGGTGGAAGCTGATAGAGACCTCTGTAGTAAGGTGTATTCCCATCATGCTTTACTAGGACTGTTATCATATCTTGTCTTGACTATCATGGACATACTATGGTACTATAAATTTTTCTAGTAATTTTATTTGCATACATGTGAGTGTATATGTTGCTATCTCTGTGGATGTTGTTATGATGGAAGAAATTGCATTATAGCAGTTATGTATTTCTGTTCTATATCAATTACCTATGCTTGGTCAGTGGTTGCAAGGGTAAAGGGAAGATTGGTCTCTTCTTCCCTTTTTTTAATCGCTGTTGTTTCCCTTGTGGTAAAGGGAGGGGGGGGATTCCAACACTGACCAAGAGAGTGTAACCACTGATGGTGATGCCTCTGCTAAAGTGATAAAAATGCTAAATTGATTTAAAAAAAAAATGCTCCCATTCAGAACTGTTTTGGAGTAGTACTCCCTGCAAGAATACTGTATGAATATTTTGAGAAATAGCTCTTCCTATAATACTGTTTGACATCAAATCAATAGAGTGAGACTTACAGCTGTGGTTTGGCCCTAAGTGCTGTGTTGGACGTTATATTTCCTCTGTTGGAAGTGCTGTTGCATTTCGTTTTATTAAAAACATTTGTTTTAAACTTTGATACAAATTGAAACGCAAACACCTTTTTTTCAATGTCTTCTGCTTTGGGTAAATATGTCTATAAGGAACAGAATTCTGAACAAATGCATCATTAATTATACCTGAATGCATTTCCATGACAGAGAAAAAGGGGAAAGCGGAAGCGATTTATAGTGAAGGTCAGACACTCTTGGACTTTTAAGAAATGGATGAAACAGCTGAACTAAAAAATAACACAAAAATGTTCAAACTACAGTGCACATAGAAGCATGCTGTTTAATCATGTTTTAAAAATAACCCTGTGTTGTCAAAAAGAATTTGCCTTTACAGGTATGTGCATGTACACGTCAACTTTGACGGCCATAATTACAAGAATTTTTCAGCATTGCTTTTGTGAAACTGCTTCCAAATCATCACCTCATGACTTTGTTAAAGTATTGCCAGTAGCTTAGATTTTCTGGAAGAAAAATAACTTTTGCCTGATCAGCAGCCTTTGTCATCAGGCATTATGCAATTCTATTTAAAGCTATTCTGGCAATCCATTTGGATATTCTGTCAAAACCCACATCCCATCTTTTACCATATTATCAGGTAATCATGTCCCTCTATTTTAAACAAAGTTCTTATAACTGAAAGCTTTCTGAAAACTTTCAACAAATGGCTGTTTTATCTGAAGCAATCACGTAAAGGGATCTTTAGGATGTTCTAAATCAAGACTTTGTTTTTGGTCTACTTTATTAAGTCACAAACTCAAAGCTATTTCTGACATTTTCAATAAAAAAAAACTTCCTGGATGGTAAGCAAAACGTCTTCAACCTTGGAAATAAAGTACAATGAATTGTTTTTTAACTTTTCTGAATTGTTTCTTATAGTCTTCCGTGGGTTTTCAAGGTTTATTTTTTGTAGTTTTCGATTTCTATATGTAAATGATAAAATGCAAAATATTAAAGACAACAAATCTAGGATCCGAACCTGTTGAAAAGCAATTCCAGATGTAACTTTTTAAGTGCTTTTTATATATATATATATATATATATATATATATATATATATATATATATATATATATATATATATATATATATATATATATATATACATACACACATTTATAAATAAATATCCCGGTTAATCTATTGTAACAGCTGGGTTGGGAGCGTGGTCTATACTAATGATGAAATTCATTAGCTAGAACAATCAGTTTTCCAACCTGTGTAGGTGTACTAGGAAATTATCACATCGAACGTGATATGCTGACATGAGGGAGGGGATTGTGGACTTTTGTTTGGAGTACAGCCGGGTAGAAGATAATAGGAGGGGCCCTAGGACTGAACCCTGGGGCACACCAGTATACTCTGGTTAGGACTGAGAATGAAAACACTGAAATTGAACTGTGTGCAGCCAGAGATGTATGATACGAACCAGTCTAAAGGGGTATCAGAAATGCAACTGATGTTAGTCTGTAGGACTGAAAGGTCAGTGATTTCAAAGGCTGCAGTCTGGTCGAGAAGAAAAAGGACAAACAAAACATCAGTCAGCAGTGAGGAGGAGTATGTTTTTTTTTTTTTATCCTGTGGTAAGTTCCAAAACCAGATTAAAACTTGAAGTTTGAGGTGTAGCAATGGCAACACAGAAGACAAAGAGTAGTGGATAATAATGCTGGTAATGATTGACATCAGAGAGAGAAAAACAGGTTTTAATAGGGAATGCCATTAAAAGATCAACATAGCAGGAAGATGTCAACATCAGAGAGGAGGGAAAATACCAAGAAGGAAGGTAACAAGAGTCCAACAGACATGCTGGAGCAATGGTTTGGTCAAAGCAGCTGATGGAAAAATCTATTTTGTCAAAATGATTTCACTAAGTTACAGAAACCTAAGGAGAGCATTTGTGGGTGTAAAGGGTACGGAGATTTAACCAACTGGTCAAAAGGGAGAGTGGTCTGAAAACTGCCTGCTTTTATTGGATGATGCAAGGACCACAGTATGGGAGGCTCTACCTTCTTTTCATCACTAAACATGACATCTTAAATAAATATAAATAAAGTTGAACTATTTAACACATATTTTATCCTGAGCTGTAGTTCATAACACCAGCAGTATCATTCTCCTATGAGAGAGGAAGAAATAACCTAAAAATATATTGGCTAGTTGCCATGTTATGTAAGCAAAACTTTTCTCACAGAAATACCAGCCGCCTGGTGCTGCTAATGGCTTCTACTTTGTTAGCATTAAAGTTTTACCAATACTGAAACAAAGCAAAAAGAACAGCTTTCTGAGGAAGAAAGGTCTACTGCTCCACCTTACCACTATGCTACAGTACCAGACACAGACAGCCTCATAGAAATATATCTAAGATCAATAATGATCCAGATAAGACTTAGTAACTTGATGTGCACTGATACACACAGGCATGTGTTGACAGCGGTGGATGCTGTGAGGATAGCCCCGGACTTCATACAGCATGACAGGCTCAACCACTTCAGGGAGTTTTAGAGCAGAGTTGTGCTTGACATTTCTTTTAAAACTACCTTTATGCTTATAA